CATGATCTCTGATCATGGCTTTCTGGTTTCATGGAGTGAAATTCTCAATAAGCAATGCACTTATCGTTTGTAAGCGCTGTGATGTTCTCGGAGGTTTCAAGACTACAGGAACACTTTAAGCATGCATGCAATTGCAGCAGGCCATGTGCCATATAAGCCTGCGGCTTCATGGGCTTCAGGCAACCGAACTTCGCCCTTCATCAGCTTTTGGTATTTAGATCCAATGCCATTGCTCTCAGCGAAGTCATTGATGCGCTGGTGGCAGGACCGACATCGCAAGATCAGATATCAACGGATTGTAGATAGACCCGCTGACCCGCTCTGTGAATCCTAGACGTGAACAATGACCTGCTAAATCATCTAAAAGATATACTAAAGGGTTGCCATTAAACAAACAGGGGTTCACCTTTCAATCTACCTGTGGGCACGACCCGTCTTGATACGTCCGTCTTTTCTGCGAGTCTTGATGTGCGAGGAGAACAAGGGGAAGGAAGCAGATGGCTGCAAACTTTGCAGCTGGGCCAAGTAAGTTGTTCGAAAGCAGACTGTTTGAGATTGTGAGATTGAGAGATTGCTGAGGTAGACTTCCTGACCTGCCGGAGGGTTGCAAGCCTGAAAAAAGATGAGAAACAGGTCCACGTGGACTGTGCTAGGCATTTGCCGGCTGAGCACTGGAAGCAAGTCATTAAGGCTCAGGCTTAAAGAAGCCTGAGCCCTTCCGTGTCCAAGTTATATATATATATAAGCTGCTTGGTAGCTAATAGCTACACTCCCTGTTTGCGCACGCTCGCCTTTGACTTTCTCCGGCGGCACAATCGGATGGACAAGCGCCGTTGATTTGGATCTACCATGGGGGGGAAGGTGTTCTGTCGACCAGCTGAGGGGAATGGTCGACTACCTCGGTGATGTTGACGAGGAGACCAAATCCAAGGCTGGATGGTTGGCAGAAATCGTCGACAGAAATCGTTCGATGAGTCGATGGGTCAGTCGATGAGTCGATGAGCGGAGTCTCACAGGTGGCAGCTAGTGCTGGCTACCCAGCAAGCATGCTGGAAAGGCAGGAAGTGCTGAGATCTCTATCAAACGTGCAATGTGTTGCAAATGTGGCAGGACACATGGGAAATTCCTTCTTTCGCATGCACAGCTTTTCTCAACACCCAAATCCCCTCACAACGACTCGCGACACATTTGCTCACTCTTGGGCTCATTCTGCTTAAAAGTTGCAAAAGGCAGAGAGTGTTTTTACATGTTTTTACTGGAACAACATTCCTCCTTGTAGGCCGGCCAAAAAGCTTGAGGAGGCTGTCGCGGCAGCTGCTGCGGAGGAGCGGAGTGGCGCTTCTCGTAGCGATGCCAGGAGCTACTAGTAGCCTTTTTGTTACTAATGAATTTCTTGGAAGGATAGCACTCTTGCAAAGTGTAACTGTAAAATATTGTGAGACACTGTAAACTTACACATACTTGGGCTGCAAGCAGCATGATAGCAGCCCAAAGAGCTTCCGCATGGCTGGAGGTTTCATTCAACGGCTTTTGATTGTGATAGATGCTTGACTGATGTGACTTCGGCGCGCAGGATTGGTTTAGCCCCTGCAAAGGCAGCGGAGGCAGTTTGGATCCACTGATCCATCAATTGACAGTTTGGAAAAGATGTCATATTTAGCATCCAAAACCCAAAACACAAAACACGTTCTTCCTCTCACCGCGTACAACGGCGATCTCGAACATTTGGGGATTTGTGACCCCAGCAACCTGAGAACAGTCGGTCAGAACTGCGAGCCCAGAAACACCAGACGTGACGCGGAAAAACGCGCCGGCACCGCCGGTTTTGCAGGTCCAGAAGTGGTCCAGCGGTCTGAAGAGCCGCAGGACAGTGTGGCCTTGACAGACGTCTGAGTGTCCATGTCCATCACAGTAGGACATGAGACTGTCATTGTCACCCACGCAGTTGACAGCCCCGTTTTCTGTGTTGGATTCATGGCATCTGATGACAAACTTGGACAGACTTGAGCCATGTCCCCAAGTGCCACAGGAGCACCAAGATCTTGCCTCTAAGAAAGGTGCCCTGCAGATCTGTGAGATCCATTCCCAAAGAAACAATATCAAGCTTGTCCATTTGGGATCCATTTTATTGCCGTGTTGGCCGTTTAGCTTGTTTCTTTGTGCTTTTTGTTCATTGTCTTGCTCTCGCCACCGGGAACATCGGGAACTCTTGAAAGCGACTGTTGTCAGTCCGATAAGAGACACTGTTAGAGTTTTTACCCAACTTAGTTCAACTCATGCTAGGTGGGCAAGTTCTCAAGTGCCTGGATGGTTTGGATTGGGAACTGCTGGATCTTGAGGAGGCGGATTTTTCCGATCAGTGATGGACATCCAACGGTCCGATGTGAGAAAGAGAGAGAGAGAGAGAGAGATGCATTCTGCTAGCGGTCTTAGCCAGTGCACGGTCATGTATTTCACCATATTTCACCGAGTTTAGATTATGTTAGACTCGCAAACATGCCCTGAAGCAATCCAATGCACAAGTCCACTGCTGGAGATGTGGGCTTTGTAAGTTCTTTGCAATTCCGTGCTTCATGTGTCCAGAAGGAGCATACAATGGCATGCAATGTCGTGAATCTTCTTTTTGAGATCCATGTTACGGTCCATGTTGCTTCAGAATGGGAATCGATTCTGAATAGATGCTTGAAGTCTACTTTAGGAAGAGGAACAACACATGATCACCTGTCTCTTCTTCTCTTCATTTCGTTTGGGCCAACTAGTGACACGGCAGGACACCATGTCTGTGACCGTGACCTTCACGGAGGAGCTTTGGTCAGCCCTGTCGGGTGCCGGATGCCCTGGGTCTTACCGGATGCCCGGGTCACTGGCACGGTCTTCAGAGGTTCTGCTTCACAGAAGGATCTCACAGGACCTCAATCAACTCTTTGCTAACAGTTTTGTTTGCTTTTTCTTCTAGTTACTAGTTCAAGAAAGGTACACATATTTGCACAGCGGTTCTCCTCTTCTTCGTATCGTTTTTGTTCGCAGTTTTGCTTTTGCAGTGCAGGCTTAAGCGCAGGGGCGAATAATCGGCTGGGCTTATTCTTAGACACACACACACACAAAGCCGTTCTTGGTGTAGGGCAGTAGGGCAGCCAAGCAGCTGCCTGTATATATGTACTGTGTATATATATATATATTTAGCCGCTCTATGGATTATCTCTGCATGTTTTCTTGATGGTAAGATCCTAATGATAGTTTTACCGGACCTCATCCTTTGTCACTGCTGAGTGACAAGCCTTGTGGTTCAACATGACAGTTTAATCCTTCCAGTATTCCAGTGTTCCGATCAGAAAAATGGACCAGGGTGGGTGGAAATACTGAGGTGTCTGGCACTGCATTCAAAGAAGCTGTGAGCTTTGAGCTGGCAGAGCAAGAGTTGTGGGATTGCCCAGTATGACCAACAGGTGTCGGAAGGAGGCTCAGAATCTTTGCCAGAGATTGCATTTAGGGAATCTCAATGACTCAATGGCTGAATCAGAGACAACTCACACTTTAAGTCGGAGACTTCTCGAACTTTCCTGAGGGTCTTCGAGGCCAATCTTTTTCTTTTTCTTCTTCTTCTTCTTCTTCTTTGATGATCTGGAATCCTTGCCACCCTCGGGCACACAATAGCACACCTGTGACAAGCATCTGCAACGCTCCGAGGCGAGTCCTACATGCCGGCTCCGTCACGTCTGGCTCGTCTTGTTCCCCAAAGATGATATTGGCAACAGGCTCTGAAAGCATCTGAAAGCAAGGGTCGACCGCTTGTGGCTGGAAGACAAAAAGCCAGGTGGTGTTGGACTTACGCCTCCCAGTTGCTGTAGCCTGGGACTCAGATTACTGGGAGGCGTTCCGAATCAGATTCCCAGCTGCTTCCATGCATCCCAGGATGCGCCGAAGGCCTCTGCCAGTGTCAGCAGCCGCAAGATGCGGGTAGCAGTGAAAGTCCGTGTTCCCAGAACTGGCAGATCACAGGGAGAGGGCTTTATTGCAATCCATAGTGCCAAGTCCTGGCACGGCGACGTAGAAATCAAGAGGTTGATCCGAAGATTTTAGATATTGCAAATCCTTCCAGTGTGAGGTCTAAGGATAGGACGCAGACATACTCAGACACCCAGCCTGCTCGGACACTCACGACGCCGCGCCAGCTGGGCCAGTGGGACCAAGGCCAAGAAGCTTGCGACACCTGCAGCTTAGTAAATGGTCGACCCAGAAGATCTGGCGTCAAAAAGAATCGACTGGCTCAAAGAGAAAGAAGACGTGGTCGGATCACGTTGGATCACAGGATCTTCAAAAGTTTTTTTTTGAAGTCTTTGTCATTGAATTCTCCATCCATCCGCAGTCGTGCGGCACATAGCTGCACCCAGCTAGAACGGATACATAATTCACCTAAGAGTCAATCTTCCGATTCAGAGAAGTGGCCAGGAGCTTTGGCCGTGGTGACTTGTGGCATCAGAGGCCTAGCCTGTGACATGTTTTTTGAAGTACCGTGACAGTTTGATTGATCGATTACTGTATATATATATAGTTATATATATAGCATAATATATATATATGGCATATGATATGCTCGCATACATTACAATAACATATAAACATTTTGCTTGGTTCATATCAATTTTAGAATTCGTACTGTACGTTAAGTGAGAAGGGTAGTGGTAAGTGGCTGACCTCAATTCATGCATAGAGTGTATACGACGGTCCTCGATTGTCCTTTGAAGAGTCAAGCAAAGACGAAGCGGTTGCCAAAGACGAAGACTTCACCCGACCCCTCGGTTGGTTCTTGTGATTCTAAGCGATCATATCCGATCATTCCATTCGTGTGTGCAGCGGCTTGAGGGGTAAAGGCACTTGAACTAGTGGCCAGTGAACTCGTTTGAAAGGTCTGTCAAGATGAACTCGGCGGCGCGAAGGATGGGAAGGACATGTGCAATTCCAAATATGTGTTTCACCAGTCTCACTGAAACCTCAGATGCCTACACCTGAACGGGGTAGGACTGAAGCCTTTGCGAGATCCGCAAAACAATGGTTGACTGGGCCGGCTGTTGCAGGATCAACTGAGGAAGGTATATAGTATATATATATAGATGATTTTAGAGGGTATAGACTCGACATATATAGAGATGTATAGAGAGCCATGGCAGTTGCTGGGTGGTGATAGTCTTCGTGGCGAAAGGATGGCAGTAGCGGTGGGAGTGGAGACGGTCGATCTTAAGTCGATAGAATCGATGCACAGGGCATATTGTTTGATCGTTTTGTGGGATGCTTTTTGGCTAAATATGCTAAATGATGGACGGAACTTTGTAGGTCTTTTGACTTTTGATCACAAAGTGTAGAATTCAAGAGACACAACATACAACATATACTGTCTAGTCTAGTGATTCACAATAATTGAGATTGGATGAGTCAGTAGAGGCTTGCTACTGGTCGACTCGTGGCTCGAGACAAAGCTTGGGACTGTGCCTGGGACATGCTTCTCGACGCGGCATCAGGACGAGCAAGAGTCCGGGCTGCACTCCTGAAGCGACACGGATTTGATGTTTCCTAGGCAACACAGACAAGTCATGTCAGTAAGCAAAATTCAGGAAGGCCTTGCATACGAAAGTGTGCATCTGAAAGCAGAAAGGAATCGCCCCACACTGTTGCTCAAGGAGGTGACCAAGATCGGCCATAGTAACTGACCGTATCTTCGGAAATGGCCATCTTGATCAAGGGAGCTCTTCTTCTTTTTGTTTTTGGAAACGCCGCCGGAAACGTCGCCTGACCGTATCTCCCCCGCTTTTCTTCTCTGTGCACGAGTCCAAAAACGTGGGAGGCTCATGCGGTTCCCACGCTCACGCAGTCCAAAGAGAGGCCGGTCCACCTGGACGAACGGGGTATCACAGGGTATCTAATTTCGGGTTCGGTCCGCTCGTGGTCTTGCTTGTTGGTAATTGGTTCGAGGCAAAGGGCAGGTTGGGCCAGATCTTTTTCCGCAAAATTCTACTTAGACCGCAGGTTCAGATTGGAAACTCTAGCTCTGGATCTTGATGCTTTGTGCCTGTGGCGTTGCGCAACAGCCAGTTCCACCAGTGCCAGCCACTTGGAGTGAGGCGTGCGGGAGTGCGCTGCACTCCACTTCCGTGAAACGACATGAATCATGGAGCTACATTGACATCATCCTTTGGTTCCTCAATGAAACGACATTGACGACAGCCAGCTTCAACTAAGCTTGGCGGTTTCAGCCGCAATCTTGCAACCGCTACGTGAGAAGTACAAATCAGGAATGCCACAGAAACAGTTTTTCCTTTTTATTTTTTTCCCACATCCCATGTAATTAGAAGTTGACATGCTGGGCTTATTGTATCAGAATCGTCCATTGCATTTGAGCCGAGAGTTCTGAGCGGCTTCAGCAGGCGATCAAGACTGAGAGCGAACCTGAGAGTGGTGAATGCGACAGTGCTGCACTTGGGACAAGACAGTGCCGCATATGCTGAAGTGCATTTATTGAAGTCAGAGTCACATGTCATGATTGATTGAAGTCACAGTCACAAGTCAGATTTTGGATATCAGGCCTCTGATATCCTCTGATTGATTTTTGGATTTTCGCCTGCCGGAAGAGCGAAGTCATCACCGCTCGATGCGGTTATCGCAGGTCCCAGCCCACGAGAGGATCCACGACCGCGTTGTGGCCGCGTGCCGTGTGGCAGCCTAGACAGACTTTGGGACAGGGGACGACATGGGGATACCTAAAGAATTGTACTTTTTCAGTGGAAGTTTTGGAGTGGCAGCCGCACTTTGTCAACGAAGGGATGATGTGGCCACCAACAGGAAGTCTGCTTGGGAAGCAGTGGCGAGCAGTGGAGTTAGGAAAGCAAGTCTGAAGTTTCCTGTGCCACTGATATGACATGGTCCGTGCAGGCTTCAAGAGATCCAGTTGCCACTATCCAGAGAGGTGCGGCAGGAAAGACTCAGTAAGTCGTAGACGACTTGCCATGACTTAACCACTGAGCTTTGCTCCGGGCATGGATGGTAATCTTTGTGAAGCTGGTTGTGGACTCACAAGATACTGGGATGGTAGTGGACGCACGCTGCAGGTCAAAAATCAAGATATGAAGGTGTGTGCTGAGGCGGGACTGCACAGAACTTAAGGTGACACCACTCGGTGCAGAAAAATGGTCGCCATCACAATGCATCCAATGGTCGCGACAACAGAATTGAATCGTGGTCAGAATCAGATTCTGCAAGGCCTCCAGGAGTCCAGATCTTCATATGCTCCACGTCCAGGTGAGCTTTTTCTGGCTCAGGCGGATCTTGCCTCTCTCCTGGAGGAAAGCAGCAGTGGCGAATGCTCGCCAGGGTGAGGAACGCCCAGTGGGGCTGGGGCCGGGCTGAGGTGCGGACCGCAGGGGACGAGTAGCAAAGGAGGTGACATAAAGACCCACTGATTGACAGTCTCAGATAGAGACTCAGATTCAGACCAAGCTGATGCCCAGCAAAATCAAGATGATGCTTTTGCATGCTTTTGCTTCGCACTTGGCCCTCGGAGCCTATCAGATCTATCACGTCTCTCGGTGATAGCACGTCTCTCCTTAGCACGTCTCTCGGTGTCGAAACGCCGATTTCGAGGCCTGGAATCCGAATACCTCCTTGCGCCAGGTGGGGATAAAGAGAGGAAGACTGAGAGAACAGGAAATATGTTGTGTTGTGTCGTGTCGTGTTATGCTTCATTCATGGTCATCCATTCATGTGGATGTCTCAGTGGCCCATAGAATTGCTTTCTTTGACTTGGCCTTCAGTCTCACAGAAGTGTCGGACAAGATGGAACGCATGTTTCAAGGGTCCTTTATGGGTGTTGGACCATGGAGCCTCAGATATTGGATGTCCTTTCCTCTCTCTAGTACTCGTACTTCCATGATCTTGCAAGGGTTATCACCTGCCAGCAAGGCCCAAGTGGCAGGGGATTTTCTTTCACACTTTATCTGTTGAACCAGATGATGGCAGACATTCTAGCCAGACTTTGTCTCGAACATTCCAAGTGTGTTGGAGGAACTACCAACTACCTGTGCAAAGTCACTGTCACAGGCAAAGGAAACGCCACATCACTTGCCTGTTCTTCCAGGTCCCCCAAACAAGTATCGAACGTGAAAACGTCGCAGGCATCGAACACCTCTGCCGATGATGCCCCGGCCGGACGACCGTGGCCCAACGAGATGGGCGTCAGGCGCGATGCGGATTTTGAATTCCGCCTGAAGGCTGTGGCAAGGCTGAATTCTGATTAATAAAGCATAAACTCCACTCCACATGAAGTGGATTTTCCAATTCATGCCCGGGGGGTGAATCCATAATCAAGAGTCTACATTAAGCTATGGTCTGTGCCACTCATAGTGGAGCTGGTCTTGCCTTTTTCTCAACTCCAAAGGCTCAATGGTGGCTGCTCGGAAAGCAGGATGGAGGCACCGCAAGCTGTGCACTGCTCGAAAAGAGCCCGTAGTTAGGTACTTTGGTACTTTGATACTCACTGCGATTCTCTTGGTTTGGATGGTCTCTTGAATTTGAAGAAGGGGAAAGGCCGCTCGGGCAAAACACGTCACCCGAAGCTGAGAAAGAGGATCTGAGCATGTGCAAGATCAAGCGCATGCTAGTGATGCAGGAGTCCTCAGAGAAACTGGAAGTGGAAGAACTGGAACGGGAGGCAAGGAGCGAAGGGGGCATTGCCATTGGTGGCCTGGTGTGGATGGAGCTTCTTGGAACTGAATGCATGAAGTGGACTAAGTGGACCACATGTTTTGTTTTGGAAACATCCCTCGCATCGCCGTCTGAGCCCTTGCCAGGCGAAAAATGCTCTCCAAAGCCCGCTCACGCCTAGCGTCGCTTTCTGACTCCTGTAGACATTGTAAAGAGTTTCCTTCCAAGGTCCCTCTGCGGAGCCTCTCCGGCCAGCCTGAGCCTATAGCTCCCTCTCTCTCTCACTATGTAAACGGGCGCCGGACACAAGCCTTTCGACAACCACGCCGAACAACTGCCACAGGGTCACAGGGCAGTGTCCTGTGGCGCGCTCCTCCATCATGTATGAAAACCCAATTTTGCCACAAGCGTGGAGCAACAACAATGGATGCACTCACTCGCATCCTTGCGCAATTTCGCCAGTTCTGTGGATCCTCCCTTCAAGCCAATGAGCAATATACCGGCCAGAAACTCATGGACCCTCTATTGTG